TTGTAATTAGCCATGACTGCACTCAAGTTAGCCATGTTCATATAAACAATAGGTGATCATAGGATAATATTGAGCCTTATCTCTCAAATTATCGGCACATCATAGAGAATGAAAAATATTTAGAATCTGTTCCTTCCTAGGTATGGTGACACATAAACACCAGCGATGGGATCTGATACAGTAGGAGCCAAACCCCCAGCTACCTCATTATACTGGTACAATCCCACTGAGGCCAATGTGAGTTGCTATCGATGACAATGTAATGCACAGTTTACAGAGTAGGTTGCCATGTCACAAGAACTAAGGCTCCATTCACACATGAAGGGTTTACCGCGCGGAACCACACTAAACATAAAAAACAATGCATTGCAATGCAATTCAGACTGTTGCGGTGCAATTGTCCGGCAAAATAGTACAAGTGCGATTTTATGGGAGGATTCCGCACGTTCCGGCTATAGTAATAGCTGCAAACGTGCAGAATCCGCGCGTATGTTAACGTTTTGTAAAAGCTACCGCTATATATGAATGGAGCCTATAACTGCAATAAAACCCACACGCTACAGTCAGCCATGATCCTGAAGCCGTTTGTACTCCTTTAGAATATGATGGGGACATTCACTAGGTGATATTTTGTTGTATTCTATTTTTAATATTCCCTGAAAGCAGATTATCTAGAACAGTCTTTAATTGCTTTATCTACGTATATTAGTGTAAATGTTAGGTTGTAGATGAAATAATAAATGTAAACATTTGGCATGCTCTGCATCTTTGACACCAAGGGCTGCTCTATAGAATAAGATTATTTTCAGAAAGTTTTTTGTTTTAGAAGCGCCAGGGACAATCCTTATCCCTCACAAGGAAGGAATGCTAAGCACAAATGCAAGGCGCAGCCCCAATACAGTCAAGGGAACTGGAACATCTGAAAGAAACACAAAAAAGGGGCGCCTTTCCTAGTGCAGTATCGTTTATTCCAAAAGAACAGGCATAAAAGGCGAACTGACAGGTACTCACAATACTGAAGTTTAAAACGAGCTGTAGAACAATAAAACCGGAGCAGTAAAAGAATCCGAATACATGTCCTGTATAAAGCACTGAAGATTATTTTCAGTTTTAATAATGAAATGAAACAAATAATGATAATAAAGGCTAGAAAAGAAACGCAGACAGTGAAAATTGCAATATTTCCTCACATCATGATTAGTGAAAAAATGCCAACTTACACTTGACTGTCAGTGATGTGTCACTACTACTGGTGGTCATTGGTGAAGGGCCTTGTTAGATTGGTGGTGATTAGTGATGAGTCAAATGTAACCCGCCCCGCACTGGGTTCTGTGCGGGGCGGGTTTGGAGAATTTAAATTTGTTTGGGTACCAAATCTGAACCCCGCTGAAGTCAATTGGAGTTGAATCTTAGAAATAATTAATGACCATTTTCTAGGCTAATAGGTAAGGGATTGACAAACAAAGTGCATGGTGAGCCGGGCAGTATCGTGGAGGACACTGACCTTAGAAAAAAAATTCCATTTGGCTGGGAGCAGTGATTTTAAAAATGCTTAAATGGACCCCATTCCCCCAATAAACAACATAGGGTTGTTTCCCTATGTTGCTTCCCCTAAAAGCTTTCTGGTCTGGTATTGATCTTAACAGAGAACTATGAGGTGAGTGATTTCCACTCACCTCATAGTTCTAGCCGACCTGTGACAATGAGACTGTCACAGGTCGGCTCAGTAGATCGGGAGGTGAGCGAACAGATACCGGCGTTCGCTCACCTCTCGATCCTGTCACAGCTCTCTGCCGTGACAGGGGAGGGGCTGGATTCCCCGCTCCCCTCCGCCAGCGCTGACTGGCAGGACGGACAGGGGAGGGGGGTGGGTACAGCTGGCTCTGCCTCTAGATAGGCAGAGCCAGCTGTCACTCACGCTGCGGGGCGGATCCCGGCACAATTGTCGGGATCCACTTCAGCTGCGGCGTCTCAGTATAGCAGCTGCTCGCGGTATACTGTGGCGTCTCAGTATACCGCAAGCTACAGCTCGCGGTATGCTGACCCTAGGGTGACGGAAGAACGCTAGTTTGTGTCCTCCCGTTACCCTAAGGAAAACTATGGGGAAAAGACTTAACCCCATAGTTCTCCTTTAAGAGGAAGCCCATGCATCAAAAAATGAAACAAAGTGGAATCCGCCCAAAATTCCTACCAGGCCCTTTTCAGAGCATGCAGCTTGGCAGGCCAAAAAAAGAGATTTAGAACCCCCCCCCCCCCCTTCCTGAACCATACTAGGCCACATGCCCTCAACATGCATTGATGGGGTAACAGGCAGGGAGGATGTTGATGGGGCAAGAGCCTCTTCCCCCCGACCCTGGCTCAGTAATTGTGGGGGTCTGCAGGGGGCTTGTTGGAATCTACTCATTCCCCCCAAAAAAATGTAAGTGTAAATGAGGAAACACAAATTTCTACTTGTCTACATATTGAAATGTCCCACCCGGTAGATCTATTGTCAAGCACATTTTTCAGCAATGCAGGTCCTTGTCAATCACAGTGAACGACCCCTGCCAACTGCAAAAAAAAATAATAATAATAATACCATGAGACACATCCTCACCCAACGGGTTACTACCGTAGCATGTCCGTTTTTGGTCAATTATGTTACACCACTTACTTTTTTTTACATTTGGCTGTCAGCCAAGGAGCTGTCATTCTGCGCAATCTCCCTAACTGGCAGCCAAATGTAATCAAAGGAGTTGTTATCTTGTTTACATTCAGCTGAATCCCTCTGACAGCTGAATGGGCCAGGCAGGGATGACTCATTGTTTGTTATGATGCCAGCAGCCATCTGCTCCCTAGCAACCAGTCTGAGAGGAAGCTGTCACATTTTGCAGCAGTAGTAATATCGCAATTAATTGTTTCCCTTTCCTGCAAGTTCAAACATCCGCTAGAGGTCATTAGAGAAGGGCCTTCTCAGATTAGTGGTCAGTGGAGAAGGGCCTCCTTAGACTGGTGGTCATTGGAGAATGGTCATCTTAGAGTGGTTGTCAGTGAATTTCTCCATTACTTTTGTGGTCAGTGGAGAAGGGCCTTCTTACTTTGGTGATCAGTGGAGAAGGGACTTCTTACTTTGGTGATCAGTGGAGAAGGGCCTTCTTACTTTGGTGATCAGTGGAGAAGGGCCTTCTTATATTGATAGTCAGTGCAGAAAGACCTTCTTACTTTGGTGATCAGTGGAGAAGGGTCTTCTTAGATTGGTGCTCAATGAAGAAGGGCCTCCTCAGTTTGGTTTTCAGTGGAGAAGGGCCTTCTTAAGTTGGTTGTCATTGATTTGCTCCATTACATTAGTGGTCATTGAAGTAGGATAGTCTTAGATTGGTGGTGTGTACCAAGTGGAGTGTAATGCTCCCTTACATTGGTGGTCAGTAAAGAAGGGCTTTCCTAAGTTGGTCAGTAAAAAAGTGCTTTCTTAGGTTGGTTAGTAAAGAAGGGCTTTCTTAGGTTCGTCAGGAAAGAATGGCTTTCTTAGGTAGGTAGGTTTACTTATTAGAGAGGCAGAAACTGCTCAATGCCTAAGCACCCCATAGTAACCTCAGGCAGAACCCTAATTGAGAAATGCTAAGCTCGCATTTACAGCCCAGAAACGAGCCTAGAATTTCTTGTTAACGCTTTGAGAGCTAGGACACAGGTTCATGCCAAATGTCATCTGGTCTGGCTCAGGTCTTCATTTATCCCTATGGGAAATAAAGAAAGTGGTAGGAACAGTGCTGTAAAATAGATATGTAGACAATAGTCCAAGGCCAGGTGGCATTGTTACTCAGCATAGTATTTACTTGTACCCTTGTCAGCACATCTCACTATACCGCGGCTCCGCTACAAGGCATAAAAGTGCATGAAATGTAATTTGTGACATTTCAATAAAGTTTAAAAGTTAAAGAAACACAAAGGTACATCATGCCTCATGTAACAAAGCAAGGCATTGCTGCTACACAATGGACATCAGCCTGCACTATAAAACATCCCGTTTTAGCATGCAGGATGGTGTGAATGAGCCCTTAGACTAGATTCAGACCTGTGTGTTGTAGTTAACCCATAGTTAAACATACATTCAAACATGGTACCACAACATACAGTACTACATCACACATGGCGCTTTGCAGTTTCATTCCTTTTGAATGGTACCCCAACATACCTAAGTAGCACACTGCAATGCACGAGCCTTTTAGCTCATCACAATGCATAGATTTGAACCTTTTCTGCATTATAGTGCGCTGTGCTGAACAAATGCAGCAGGAGCGTTATTATCTGCTTTATCCTTTGACCTTATTTTACAGCATAACTCTGAGCAACCCTGCAAGAGGTTGTAGCTATAGCCATAGCATATCATGCTACTGCATTGGGGTCCAGCTGTATGGAAAGGTGGTCCTGTCTTGCCAAATACGTATACAGATTTTTAATGCAATGAAAGTATACACCATGAAGGTTCATTCACACTGAATTTAATTCCTTACCGTTTACATCATTCATGTCAAGGTATGGTATAAAAAATATACTGTATGCTGCAGTTTTGGGAGTCTGCGGTTTCTCATCCAACGCAACCAAATTAAGACATTCAAAATGACATTGTATAACATACAGTATGTAAACACATGGGGAGATGGGTGATAGCACATGTAAATAGTGCACACATAACCACATTGTGAAAACATCTGCATTCTTTTGTTTTAGAATGGCGTAGATCACCAGAGTGGGACTACCTTCTGAATGGATTTTGCTAAGGGCTTATTTATATACAGTTATCCTCCTGCCATTGGAGGAAAATAACTCTGCTTCTTTTTGTATGCCATCTTACAAGCAAGCAGCAATGACAAAAAAACAAGTTAGTGATTTGTACACCCATTGTTCCCAGTGGTCTGTCACATGCAAGGTCATATAATAAATATAGTGAAGATAAATTAACATTAAAAGTCCTTCTTCTTCTACTAGAAACAGTTCTGAGTTTCTTTTTAACATAGCCATGTAACGTCCAATCCATGGTTGAAGAACATGATTCTGATCACTCATACAAAATATGGTTTGGTGCAAAGCTTAGAAAACCACACTGCTCTCTAGTGACAAACCAGCAAGGTGGTTGAGTTCCTGAAGTGCTTGCAGTGGATTTATCAAATGCATTACCGTGCCTGTGGAGTGCTGCCAGACTGTTGCATTGAATGAATGGGACTCTACTATCTCCATAAATAAACTGGTGTCGCTGTTTGATGTGCAGCAAATCTTGACACAGTACGGCCGCTGTAGAAAGCTATGGATGAAACAGTTAATGAAATACCCAGCAATGGAGCAGAGTTCAGTGTCCAGTCATCATACTTCCTAACAGGCACTTCATCTGGATCTTCTGACCCATCCAGGGTTTTACGCCTCCACGCTCTGCAGCTGTTTCAATTGATTGATGTCATCATGGCTTTTTGATTTCTTTTGTCCATTTATCTGTAGGGTTTTCTTGACTGATCTGTCAGTTAAAATATACTGTATTAGAACGCGTTAGGAACATCCCCTGGAATTCATAGAGTGACACAGACTTTTACGAAGACTATCTTCGCCCCCATGTGACAAATGTTGGCGACTGTGACAAATTCATGGACATGTCAGAAACATGTACTTGAATTTGTCACAAAGCTTGCCTTGTTGTGAGGTCTCACGGACTGAGCATCATTGGGGCCACCAGTCTGAGCATCATTGGGGCCACCAGTACTGTGCTGGAACTCCTGTGACAGCTGCAAGTGCAGCTCTCCCCTCTCACTGTATACATGGAGCAGAGAGAAGAACGGACGTTCACCGCTCTCTGTTCCCCGATCTTCATCGTGCATGCATGTGTTGGGGGACACCAAAAACCACGGCGGGAAGGGAGAAGGCCAGCAGGAAAAGGCAGCCAGGTGAGGTGGGGCCGGACCATAGAGGGGTGGCGGCGAGGGGGGATGAAGCTGCACGCATATTACCAGTGATCTCGGCGACATTGCTGGGATCACGTGTACTAAAACACCAGCTTCCCAGCTCTACATTCAGCCCAAGGCAGGGCTAAATGTAGAAAAAAATTACACGCCCGGTAGCTGTGCTGCCCCTCTACTCCCTGCTGCCCCTAGGCCCGTCCTCAGTGACCTTGTGGGAAATCCAGCCCTTTCTACTCCATAGAAGCTATGGTTTCCATATTGATAATGGCCAACTGGCCTGAAACAGCTGCATGCAGTTTAGAATAAATAGCTTTATACTGTTAAGTTGTATGTGTACTGTAAACCAGCAGTTCTAGATATGCAGTTGGTCACAAAGTGGCATAAAGGATTGATTTCCATAGCTTTTCCCGCTATCCTAAATGAGTAATAAACCTTTTATTTTTTGACCCCTGATGGAAGTGAGACATGCAAATACCTTCTGTTTTAAGAACACCCTACAGCATTTCTCACTGGGAGGCTTTTTCGGTTCCTTTTAGCCCACCTCACCATAACATATCTAGTTGTTCCAATGTGCTTCAGAAACATTATGAACCTCTGTTGTACTTACTTCACTTCTTCAAATTTCTTGTCCCTGTAGAAGGGACTCCTTTTGATGAAATATAGCAAGACCAAGTCACAGAAGAAAGCTCCCTGAAAAAGAAATAAAAACAGATATAACAAGAGCAGATGGCTGGTATCGGTATCGGTGCTGATATCAGGCATTTCCATGAGTACTCGTACTTGTGAAAATGCCCTGATAGCAAAAACTGATACCTGTGCTTTTATTTTTCAAATTGACGCGCCTGCCTTAGGTCCTGCACTTGCTGGGGACCTCACAGCAGCCTTTTTGAGAACCACATGGTGCCTGTTTACAGTGCTTCTGCCAGACTGCATATCTCCCCCTCCTGAGACCCTTGCAAATCTCCCCTTGCTGATACCCTTGCCCATCTTCCCCTGCTGAGACCCTCGCACAGCTTCCTGTGCTGAGACCCTCGCACATCTCCCCCTGCTGAGACCCTCCACCTGAGGGCTCCCCAGAGCAGATCAGCAGCACAGAGTATGTAGCAAATCTATATACTATTCTGCATTGCTGTATAATGTATTGCTGGGATTATTAGTCCTCTATAGCTGATGGTATTATTCTGCAGGGCTGTATAATGTATTGCTGATATTTGTAGTCCTTTATAGCTGATGATATTATTCTGCATTGCTGTATAATGTACTGCTGGGATTTGTAGTCCTCTATAGCTGATGGTATTATTCTGCATTGATGTATAATGTAGTGCGGGGATTTGTAGTCCTCTATAGTTGATGGTATTATTCTGCATTGCTGTATAATATTTGCTGGGATTTTGTAGTCCTCTATAGCTGGTTGCCATTCTGCATTGCTGTATAATGTATTGCTAGGATTTGTAGTCCTTTATAGCTGGTGGTATTCTGCATTGCTGAGATTTTAGTCCCTCTACAGCTTGGAGTCAGTGGCAGAACTAACAGGATCACAGCGTTTGCAGCTGTGACTGGGCCCTGGCAGTCCATCACTTTCCTAAAACCATTAGTCTGTATTGTTTTAGAAAAACTGTCACATGACACTAAAATATCAGTAATTGGTATCGGCGAGTACTAGAGGAAAGGTATCGGTACTTGTACTCGGTCTGGAAAAAATGGCATTGGTGCATCCCTAGTAAAAACAAGCTGAGATCCTAAGACACCTTTTGAAGTTGCTACTCAGAAAATAATGACAGACCTTCTATGCTACTTTAAAGTGAACCTATGGGCCCAATAAATTTCCATCAAAAGACACACCAACAAGTAACTGACAAGAGGAGCTGTCAGCAGGTACCTTTAGCTCTACATGCTGCTCCCCCATCTTCATCTACAGCCCTGTTAATCCTGCTACGTATATAGTGACATGCTCAAAGTCATGATTTGAATAAGCACAGGCACACCACCCAAAATGTCAATGCTTGGGCCCCAAATGACAATGATTCTTGCTTTCAGAAGAACTCGTGGCAGCACTGGGGGGACAAAGCCTGGAAGTAACTGGAACCTGATGACCGCTTATTCTATCAGCGATTTTTAGCATTGTCAGTTTAGGCATTTTGGTGTTATGACAGCCTTACATTACTTAAAAGAGACCTTAACTCTATTCTATTCTACTCTATAAAACTATTTTGATTTGATAACTATTAGGGAACATCTAGATGTGTTTACTGTGCCTAAGCAGTATCCCAAAAAGTGACACCCTCCTTAAAAATAGCAGTGCATTCCCAGACAGGCAGCTGTACTCCTGTGTCTATAGCCACATAGTTATCTGAAGTATGAAATCTTAGGCACTGTTGCTTCTGACTTGTAGTCTCATGAGATCCAGAGTGAAATTTGATGATCTCACGATTGTGCTGCCCACTGTTCTTTTCGCTGTTGAGTAAGCTTTACCTGAAGACCTGCAGTGCAAGATCTCATTGCTTCTGTATCATCCACTGTGTGGGTCTGTGCATCCTCCACCTTCTTAAATATTCACCCAACAGTCATCAGATCACCACTCATCAGGAGGCAGCTCTGGCATGAGGAAGCCTAGAGACTTATGTGCCTATAGCTGTACAGTATATCTGCAGGCACCTCTTCCTGTAAATGCTAGTATCATGAGCGTTACATCTGCTTAGAACTAATAAAAACTTTTCTTACTTATCCAATCACTGTTTAATAAAATCTCGTTCAAATGTTGTAAATGTGCTGGATCTCATGTGACCTGAAACACGCATTTAGATTGTTGTGAAAATTTGCCTACATTTAGTGGATTGTAGAATCATATTGTAGAATGTTTGCCCAGCTTTAGAGCTAACTATGAAACATCTCAGATCTGCTTACCGCACCCATTAGAGCCAGGCCAGAGCCTATATTGATGATTGTTGGGATGATGTTAAACTTTCCAGCCTATAAAAAACAAGCAGAAAATTCACATTATTGTTGTATTTTATATTGTGTACTTTAACACAGAGGAATGAATACACAGTGTTAATGATAGGCAGAACTATTGAACTGGCCATATCTGGGAGGAATGGGGCTGCCTCATTCAGGTCTAGACATCTGTATGTCTGGGTAAAATAAAAAACACTCAGACAATACATCTCTGCAATACATGCACATTTCCCCATGTTTCATCCCTTATAAATGCTGCAATCACCCGTTGATCAGCCAGAACTCCAGTGGACTCCTAAATTCCTGTTTGAGATAACAGTGCTGCTTCTGTTGCACTGAAATCCCCAGAAGTGTTGTCAGCATGTCTACATCCTATACTACCGCTGGAGCCATAGAGGGAACCACAGTTTGCGGGGATCTACACCACAATGGGATTTTAAGTATCCATCTTCTTCTTTGACAGAGTGTGTTTTTTGTTGATTTTGGTGCCGTTAAGTTGTAGCCAAACCCTAAAACAAAATTGTAAAACATTGCAGCTTACCAGTCCTTAGATGTGGTGGTTGCATTTATATTCCTTTTATTTTCACCTGGCGATCTTGTCAGTAACACACTTCCTGTCCTGGGGTGACAACGCTTACTAACTGCACTGTATCTATGCATGATTTAAATAAAATAAATCTAATAATAAAAAAAAATTTTAAAAGTCCCCCGCCCCTGCAAACACGCGCGTCGCCACGTAAACACGTGTCGGGTCCGCCTACGTATGAAAACGACGAACACGCTACACATGTTGGGTATCGCCGCGCACGCCGGAGTGAGAGCAATAATTCTAGAGCCAGTATTTTGGGGTATCTCTAAATTGATGACCTGTGGGGGCTTTTAAAGCATCTTCTATGGACTTTTTGGGGTACTGGGGTTTTTCGCCGTTATACGGATGCACGCAATTTGTAACCTGGGCATGTTGGGTATCGTTTTACTCGTTGTAACCTCATCTTTTATATTTCATTTAAAAAATGGGTATTTTGCTGTGTTTTGGGGCATTTAATTAAATGTTTCACTAAATATTGGGGTTTAATAAGGAGTTGCGCTAATATTGCGCAACATAAAAATTTGCAACTACCACCATTTTATTCTATAGGGTCTTGGCATTCAGAAAATATATAATGTTGGGGGGTTTTAAGTAATTTTCAGGCCTAAAATGTGGAATATAACATGGGTACAAAAAATGAAAAAAAGGCCTCAGTCATGAAGGGGATAATATTATTATATGTACTATTGAAAAACTGTGTACCTTTCCATTCACCATGATGTCAAAACGAATGCCGTATGCTTTTATCAGCGTCCTGTAGTCTGTCTCATTAACATCACGATAATACTTGGCGTATCTTAAAAAAGAATAATATTAAAAACACATAATGATCAGCCACTTAGACAGTACAAAGGGCACGTTCCTGATATGAAATTGTAGCAATTTAAAGCTGAACTCTGGTATAAGAAAATACTGTCAAAATACAAGTGGTGTGTGCTTTCTTATGTGAATCTTGGTGTGCCTTGTATATTTCTTCCAGACCTGTGCAGTAATCCAGTGGGAAAGCTTGCCTGTAATAATAAATAGTATTCTGCAGGTAGTGGGTGGGGCCTTCTGGGTCCCTGCCACAGCTCTCTCCACAAGCTATGTACAGTACAGTAATGATGTCAGTGATTATATATTTTAATGAATATTTCATGATCATAAGTCAATAAAATTTTACTACATTTCAGAAAAGATTTGAACTTGTCTTGATTCTGCCTTTGCCAAAGTACCCTCCACCAAATACTTCAAATATGAGTCAGTTTCTCTTTGAAGTGTATCTAAAGTTTGTTAACTTAAAATAGAACTGAAGCCCATTTTTTTTTCCGCTTTGGATAGGGTAAGGGAAGGTTATAACCCCTGTCAGTTTCTTTTGCTATCTGTGTCCCACGGGGGAGATTTCCCTTTACCTCCTGTCTAATAGCCACAACAGGAACTGAGAGGAATTCCCTCCACAGAGATGGAAATCCCTGGTACTCAGCAGGGTCACTGGAGCTAGTGTCCCCATTGGAAGATTTCCCATCTATTCCTGTTCTGATGACAATCCGAAATTTGGCAAAGGTCACCAGGACAAATAGAGAGGGTGAATCTCCCTAACAAGGACACAAACAGCAATACAAACCTGAAAGGGTTTCTAATCCTTCTTCACTCCAAAGATAAACAAATTAAGTTTTAGCTTCAGCTTTTAGGAGAAGGATCCCAAACACAACCACTGCAGACTCCTTGCTACTTCTCACATACAGAAATGCCTAAGAAGAGGCATCCAATCAGATTGTTCAGGTATTTTGACAGCCAGAGGGGCCGACTAGCAAGATACTGAAGCTTGGCCCAGCAGGTGATTCCTTCATCCACACAGTATAGCGTAGATGGAGGAATCTGTTGCACATTTTCCATCTGACCATAGAAATTATGCAGATAATCTATAGTTGTACGGCTAAGCTTCAGACTTTTCTCACAGCCAACCATAAATCTGCTTTGAAAAGCTGAACTGCGGGATTGTGAATTGAAGCACCACACTCCGCCTCCATTTAATAATCCAGATATCTTATATAGGGTCAATAAGACACTATAGAAATAAACAGCTCGTTTTGGGGGCTCATACAAATACCCCATTCATCAGAGCTTACTAAGGCCCCGTTCACATTGAGCGATTTATCGCGCGGTAATTCCTGCGATATCGCGGCTATTTACCGCGCGATATCGCGCTCCAATGCTTGGCAATGGGGCAAAGGGTCCTGCTGTCGCGGGTCGTCTGTCGCTACAGCAGGACCCTTTTTGGAGCGGATTTTGCCGCGATTCAAGCTTGCTCAATGCAAGCATTTGTGCGATATCACGCGACAAATCGCGCGATATCGCGCAAAATGCAAATTGCGCGACAAACACGCGATTTGCGGTACCGCTCAATGTGAACGGGGCCTAAGGGAGACATATCAGGAGTGTAAAGGCTTAAAATTGTCCAGTGTGAGAGAATGCATGGAGCTCTTCAGCAGCTAGTTTGGCTTTTCCCTTTTGTTTGAACTGACCCTTCAAATGGAGATATAAGGCATTAGTAAACTAAATACAACTCAACATATCTAAAAAAGATGCTTTTAGCATAGACAATTACATATAAAATAATACAATGTATTAAGCTGCACAACACATGTAGATACAGCATTAAAAGTGCAGTTATGTGCATGCAGCAATACCTGAAATTGTAGCCGGAGGAGACAGATTTCCCTGTAAATTTATTATCCAGCCGGGTGAAGGAGTAGCGAGGATGACATTCAGAAGCTTCCTTGTCCAAGTTACAGTCCCATTCTATCTGAATACCAATAACGCCACCCTGGACAAGATGTTTACACATTTTTCAGTTTTCTAACAACTTGTGTTTAAATATTCTAAATTACAAATGTCATTGAAAGCGAACATGAGCATCATAGCACAACGATGATGAAACTATAAATATGTAATTCCTACAATGACCACAAGAGGGAAAACATAAAAAAAAATCCTATGGCTAGCGCTACTTGCTATATAGATTAATTCTGGGATTTATACAATATGTGTAGTATTAATTTTTCTCTATCTTATTATTTTCAGCTGATGCATTTGCACCTCGTTTACCAGAAGTGCATGAAAAAACTATATTCTGTAAAATGCAAATAGTACAAACATTTGCAGAGTGTTCCCAGCAATATTAGGGTTTGAAGAGTATGTAAAGCCTAGTGGCATACCTTGCATTTAACAATCCCTGCAATACAAAAAAAATATTTTCAATAATAAAGGCGATTAGTTAGTGTGGCCAAATTGCAAGAGTGGGAGGGACTTAAGGAGGCATGGCTAAATAACAGACATGAACAACACTCAGCAAGATTGCTTCCACTACATATGCTTTTTTTGCACACAGCCTACCTTAAAGAAGAGTAAAGCATTTTTTACTTAGAGTGAAGTGGTCAGGAGTAAGTCATATTAGGCCCAGCATACAAAGTGCAGTGGTCAGGGGTATAAAATTTACAACACAAGTACAAGTATGAGTGTCTAGAGTGCAGGGTTCAGGGGTGTGTGATGCACAAAATGCAGGGGGCAGGAGTGCATAATGCAAAGAGTGCAGGAATCAGGAGTAGTTATTCCACAGAATGCAGGGGGTCAAGAGTGCATATCACACAGAGCACAGTGTTCAGGGAGGCATAAGGTGCAGAGGTGCAAAATGTGCATAATGCACAGAATGCAGGTGTCAGGAGTCTGTAATCCACAGATTGCAGAGGCCAGGAGCACATAACACACAGGCCAGAGTACAAAATAAGATGAACATTTCCCCCCTCCTGCCAGTACTAATCCTCCCTCCAAAGCCTATATCCCCTACATTACAGATCTCCCCCTACAGCCCCAATCCCCCCCTCCCAGTACAGATTTCCCCCCACAGCCCAATATTCCCCCTCCCAACCTACCCTCTCAGTAAAGCAGTAAAGCTTCCCTCAGCACAAATTCTCCTCCCAGCCTACCCC